TGCCGATCCCTCCACTGGCTTCTATCCCCCACCCCCCTCTGCCGATCTCTGCACTGGCTTCCATCCGCCCAAAGGATAAAATTCAAAATATTAACAATCACTTATAAAGCCGTCCACAACTCCGCCCCCGGGTATATATCTAAAAACCATGTTTCAAAGTATCACCCTAACCGTCCCCTCCGCTCTTCACAAGACCTCCTGCTTTCCAGCTCCCTCATCAACTCCTCCCATGCTTGCCTCCAGGACTTCTCTAGAGTCTCTCCCATCCTCTGGAACTCTTTACCCCAAACTGTCCGTCTATCTCCCACTCTGACTGCTTTTAGGCATTCCCTAAAGACTCTTCTCTTCAGGGAAGCCGATCCCACCTTAACCTAACCGCTCAACCATCACGTTCTCAGACAATTCATCCCCACACAGCTCCCTCCTCATGTATCACTGGCCCCTCCCCTCCCCAATCTTTAGATTGTAAGCTCTCAATAGGATAAAACAGAAATGGAGCTCTTGGAACACGTGGAGGTGATCTGGGATCTCTGGTTGGATGAGTGAGGAAGGCGGATCCAGTATGACTTTGGGCTCACATTGGGGAGAGTCGTCGGGGTGTAAACAAGATGCAGATATGGAGGCCGCTGTTAGGAGATGACTGGGATCTCTGCTATGTAGACCCGCGACTGATGAGGTGGGGTGAGGGCAAAGGCGGGAGAGATAGAGAAACTCGGGCAGTAGAGTCATTATAATGGCCGCTATTCTGCCTGCTCGGGATGAACCGTAGGTAGTCCACGTCTTCAGCAGACCCGTGAGTTTGGCCCTCATAGCAGGATAATTGGCACCGTATATAGAGAGCGATATGGACGGGTCAGCTTAATGCCTGAGGAAGAAAGGTGGTCAGGCTTCTCTTTCATTACAGCATTATCCACTTGTGAAGTCTGGTGACCACGTGACCATCATGGTGCCTCCACCTCACTCCATGAAACCCGAGAGAAATCATGTGAAGAAGATTCTGGAAGCCACCAAGAAGATGATGGAGCTGCTGACGGGAGAGGTGAGCGGTGCCGGGAATTCTGGGACATGATCCGGGAACAGACAAGGGGTGTGTCTGGGTGGTGACGGGAGAGGTGGGCGGTGCCGGGAATTCTGGGATATGATCCAGGAACAGACAAGGGGCGTGTCTGGGTGGTGACGGGAGAGGTGGGCGGTGCCGGGAATTCTGGGATATGATCCAGGAACAGACAAGGGGCGTGTCTGGGTGGTGACTGTATCATTGTGTGTGTCAGGTTCCTATAAGGTGTCAGGATGTCTCTGTCTATCTCTCCATGGAGGAGTGGGAGTATCTAGAAGGACACCGGGATCTCTACAAGGACGTGGTGATGGAGAATGCCCCGCCCCTCACATCACCGGGTAAGAGGAGAGAGCAGTACGGAGGCTCCGCCTACATCCCCCATCATCTGATACACACATAGAAACAATGTATTCAGTCAGTGTGTGTGTTTCCTACAGAGGGATCCAGTAAGAGGAACCCACCAGAGAGATGTCCCCGCCCTCTGTACTCCCGGGATCCCACCCAGGAAGATCTCACCGTCCCTCATGAGGTGAAATAGAGAAATAATAGGGGATACATTTTGACACGTCCCAAATCGTTGTTTTATTTCATCTGATCTCATTGTTCTCAATATTCAGAGTGAGTGTGAAAATGATGTTAAAGAAGAGATAAAAGAGGGGGAGGAGGAGGCTGGTGTGATGGAGGAGCTTTTAGAAGAACACAAAGATCCCTTCAAGGACATTATGATGGAATCGTTCAGTGACACAAACCCACCAGAGAGATGTCCCCGTCCTCTGTATTCCCGGGATTCCATCCAGGAACATCTCACCCTCCCCCACCATGATCAGGTAGATGGGACCGAGCTTGTTTGTTCCAGGAGAACATTCTTCTATGTCATCTCTTGTTGCTTTTTTACAAATGTATTCTATCATCTTTGGTGTTTAGGATGAAGAACTGGAAGACATCAAAGTTGAGGATAAAGAGGAAGAAGAAGAGACGTTGGTGGGTGGAGCTCAGCAGTCTATGGAGGAGGGGGAGATGATGATGGAAAATAAACAGGAGGAATCTTCTCTACATACGGACACAAGTAAGTCATAAACACTAAATGTGGAACCAAAACATATGAAGGTCCATCTCCATTCCTCAATATAACGTCATGTGACCAACAAATGAGGAGAAGATACTGTACACCATATGAAGGTCCATCTCCATTCCTCAATATAACGTCATGTGACCAACAAATGAGGAGATACTGTACACCATATGAAGGTCCATCTCCATTCCTCAATATAACGTCATGTGACAAACCAATGAGGAGGAGATACTGTACACCATATGAAGGTCCATCTCCATTCTCACGGTTACAATGTCATCAAAGGATCTGTAACATGATTTTTGGATCTTTCTCTCTTACAGACGGACTCCGTCGTGCCGGGAACGGTAACACCTCTGAGGGACATCTTGTGTTATCTCCAGATTATAATGACATCACACAACATTCTCCAGGAGTGAATCCCATTACTTATGATAGACATCACCGACCTTCCCATTCAGAGCCATCAATGGATCCGTCTAATCGGGAGGAAGTTTCTGTAGAACATGAAGGAGACCACACAGGAGAGCGTTCATTGACTGAAAACAGAGACCGTTCTGTACACCAGAGAAGTCAAAGGAGAAAGCGTCTTTTCACATGTTTAGAGTGCGGGAAAATCCTAACAAAGAAAACAAACCTTCTTAGACACCAGAGAACTCACACGGGGGAACGCCCCTTTTCATGTCTAGAGTGCGGGAAAGGTTATGCTTCCAAACAAGGTTTTCTTATACACCAAAGAAGTCATACAGGCGAGCGTCCTTTTTCATGTTCAGAGTGTGGAAAGGGTTTCACTCAGAAAAAAATCCTTCTGTCACACCAGAGAAGTCACACAGGTGTATACCCCTTTACATGTCCAGAGTGTGGAAAAGGTTTTACTTCCAAAGCAGCTTTCCTTTCACACAAACTAACTCATACAGGCGAGCGTCCTTTTTCATGTTCAGAGTGCGGAAAATCCTTCACTTCAAAGACAAGCCTTGTTGCACACCAGGGAAATCACACAGATGAACGTCCTTATTCATGTCCAGAGTGCGGGAAAAATTTTGTTCAAAGAAGACAGCTTTTCAGACACCAGAAAACCCACACGGGCGTGCGTCCATTTTCATGTACCGAATGTGGTAAATCTTTTCGTTGGAAAAAAACACTTCTTACACACCAAAGAAGTCACAAGGGCAAGAGTCCTTATGCATGTCCAGAGTGCGGGAAAAGTTTTATTAAGACAGCAGACCTTCGCAAACACCAGAAAAGTCACACAGGTGAACATCCTTATTCATGTACAGAATGCGGGCAAAGTTTCATCCTGAGAGGGGACCTTCGTAAACACAAAAGAAGCCACACAGGCAAGCGTCCTTATTCATGTCCAGAGTGCGGGAAATGTTTCACTCGCAGAAATTCACTTATCAGACACCAGAAAATTCACACGGGCGAGCGTCCTTTCTCGTGTTCCGATTGCGCAAAATCTTTTATTGAGAGGGGAGACCTCGTTAAACACCAGATAATTCACACGGATGGCCAGCCTTTTTCATGTTCAGAATGCGGGAAGAGTTTCACAATGAAAAATGCTTTTGTCAGACACCAGAAAATTCACACGGGCGAGCGTCCTTTCTCGTGTTCTGATTGCGCGAAATCTTTTGTGCAGAGGGGAGACCTCGTTAAACACCAGAGAATTCACACGGGTGACAAGCCCTTTTCATGTTCAGAGTGCGGGAAAGGCTTCACTGACAGTGCAAAGCTTGCTAAACACCAGAGAATTCACGCGGATGACAAGCCTTTTTCATGTTCAGAGTGCGGGAAAAGTTTCACTGACAATGCAAAGCTTGTTAAACATCAGAGAATTCACATGAGTGAGCAGGCTTTCTCGTGTTCAGAGTGCAGGAAAGGTTTCAGTGAGAAAGAAAAGCTTCTGAAACACCAGGAAATTCAAACGAGCTAGCCTCCTTTTTTTGTTTTATGTGTACGGTGTGGAAAATGTTTCATATGGAAAAGAAAACTTACACACCAGATAACACTTTCTATTGGGGGCCTATTCTTCATTCTCAGGACGCGGCGAATATTTTAAACCTAAAGGAAGTCCCAGTAAACGCACCTACCAAAGATGTTGTCACATGTACGGTGGCACAAGTGGGGCAAATTGGTCCATGTTTGCTATAAAATTAAAGGGGTACTTCCTGGTAAAGGTGATCTCTCCAGTGTGGAGCTCTGCCTGCTACAGTTCCTTTCTCTCCTTCATAATATAAAGTTAGTATCCACCAGGAAGAGTGGGGTAGTTCATAGAGAGTCCTCCATTGGTGATGGGAATGAGCTCAGTTCATAGAGAGTCCTCCATTGGTGATGGGAATGAGCTCAGGTCATAGAGAGTCATCCATTGGTGATGGGAATGAGCTCAGATCATAGAGAGTCCTCCATTGGTACAGACCTGTCTGTAAGAATTCACACTCAGTAGGACTTTGGGTTGATTCTAAACCTCATGAAGTTGACGTTGGTGCCATCTTCTTGGTTGGAGTACCTCAGCATGACACCAGAGTGGTCAGGGTATTCCTCCCACCAGAGAAGTTTCGGGAAACTTCAGTCCCATGTGTCACTGGATATTCACTCACTCATACACTTAAAGCCATTCAACCTACGATGCCTAATCTCCCTCATAATGGTCACAGCGGGGGTACAGACCCGGGAACTCGGCACAGGGATGGTGGGGGCCCCTCATAATGGGCACAGCGGGGGTACAGACCCGGGAACTCAGCACAGGGATGGTGGGAGCTCCTCATAATGGGCACAGCAGGTGTACAGACCCGGGAACTCAGCACAGGGATGGTGGGGGCTCCTCATAATGGGCACAGCGGGTGTACAGACCCGGGAACTCAGCACAGGGATGGGGGGAGCCCCTCATAATGAGCACAGCGGGCATACAGACCCAGGACAGGAAAGGATGCAGACACACTAAACAAAAATCTAACCATTCCCAGCTATACTAAAACATACGTGGAGAGATCTCAGATGGACATAAATGAAAGGAAAATCTCCAGGGGTTTCCAACGTCCAGAAAAAAAATGCTTCGCCTGCAGTTTCACTTTCACTTTCATCTGTACACTAGTAATAGTGAGCTCTGTAGATAAATCTTTCTTATACAGATAAAACTGGCTCTATGGAAGTTGTGTGCACCACCGAGGACTCAGTAACAGTGACTGACACCCCCCGAGAAGCTTGAGGGGACATCTCTGCTTGCCAGTAGTTCCTGTGGGCATCACACAGGTATGAAGTGTGTTGAGTGTAACTAAGGGCTGTGCGTGTGTAATTGATCTCCCCTCCTGGAAGTAGTTACACCGAATTCATCACCTAGGAACCAATTTACAGATGACCTCCCACCTTTCACCAGTTTAGTACTAGAGGGCCAGCAATAGTCCTAAGGGTCCTCTCTCTTCTTTGTCCCACGATGGGTCACCCTCTTCAATAATAACACCCCTCCCCCATACATTGATGTAGATTTGGGGAAGAGACCTTCTCCACACCATTGCTCTGGATCCTCAGTATGAATGAGTCTCAGAAAGATCCATTTCGGCAGTGACAGTTTAGGGCAAACCCCAATACCAGACCCTTATCCTTCAAGAAGGTCCGGTATGGATTCTAGGGCAAACCCCAATACCAGACCCTTATCCTTCAAGAAGGTCCGGTATGGATTCTAGGGCAAACCCCAATATCACACACTTATCCTTTATGAGGGTCCGGTATGGATTTTAGGGCAAACCCCAATACCAGACCCTTATCCTTTATGAGGGTCCGGTATGGATTTTAGTGCAAACCCCAATACCAGCCCCTTATCCTTCAAGAAGGTCCGGTATGGATTCTAGGGCAAACCCCAATACCAGATCCTTATCCTTTGAGGTTCCAGTATGGATTTTAGTGCAAACCCCAATACCAGACACTTATCCTTTATGAAGGTCTGGAATGGATTCTAGGGCAAACCCCAATACCAGACCCTTATCCTTCATGAAGGTCTGGAATGGATTTTAGTGCAAACCCCAATACCAGCCCCTTATCCTTCAAGAAGGTCCGGTATGGATTCTAGGGCAAACCCCAATACCAGATCCTTATCCTTTGAGGTTCCAGTAGGGATTTTAGTGCAAACCCCAATACCAGACACTTATCCTTTATGAAGGTCTGGAATGGATTTTAGTGCAAACCCCAAATACCAGACCCTTATCCTTTATGAAGGTCCGGTATGGATTCTAGGGCAAACCCCAATACCAGACCCTTATCCTTCATGAAGGTCCGGTATGGATTCTAGGGCAAACCCCAATACCAGACACTTATCCTTCATGAAGGTCTGGAATGGATTCTAGGGCAAAGCCCAATACCACACCCTTATCTTTTATGAGGGTCCGGTATGGATTCTTTTATTACAACGTGAGCTGCAGATTTTATATTCTCCTCCAATAGGCAATCCCAAATATTGTCAGTGGGAACGCAGTGATAATGAGGAACAGACAGGAAGTGATGTCACCTATAAATAGGAAGTTCCAGGTGAGAGGTGAGTCGAGAGGAAGTAGAGAGGAGATATTGCTGGAACTGGCAGCAGAGGAGGTAATATATGTATATTTGGTGTTTATTGGTAATATTTTAGATATATCCCAAAAATAGAGCCATTTATCCGTATTCCATGAAGTCTCGGGTTTGTTGGCTCTTATCGCTTTACAATGTTTGGCCTACAATTACTCATTAAAGGCAACCTACGGGTTTCTTCCAGTTATATTGACAAATTAGACCTGTTATATAGTATATGAAGCCATCTGAGGTATCAGAACTAGGGAGGAACATGATGGAGAACTATGGAGGAACATGATGGAGAACTATGGAGGAACATGATGGAGAACTATGGAGGAACATTACAGAGAACGATGGAGGAAGATTACGGAGAACTATGGAGGAACATTATGGAGAACTATGGAGGAACATGATGGAGAACTATGGAGGAACATTATGGAAGACTATGGAGGAACATTATGGAAGACTATGGAGGAACATTACTATGGAGAAACATTACAGAGAACTATGGAGGAACATGATGGAGAACTATGGAGGAACATTACGGAGAACTATGGAGGAACATTACGGAGAACTATGGAGGAACATTACGGAGAACTATGGAGGAACATTATGGAAGACTATGGAGGAACATTACTATGGAGAAACATTACGGAGAACTATGGAGGAACATTACGGAGAACTATGGAGGAACATGATGGAGAACTATGGAGGAACATTATGGAAGACTATGGAGGAACATTATGGAAGACTATGGAGGAACATTACTATGGAGAAACATTACAGAGAACTATGGAGGAACATGATGGAGAACTATGGAGCAACATTATGGAAGACTATGGAGGAACATTACTATGGAGAAACATTATGGAGAACTATCGAGGAACATGACGGACAACTATGGAGGAACATGATGGAGAACTATGGAGGAACATGATGGAGAACTAGGGAGGAACTCTGTGTAGACATCATTCATCCCGGTACAGTCCAGATAATTCTCAGTTTATTATTTGTCTACAGGGAGGAAATACCTAAATAGGTCACAGGACCTCATCAATAAGAATGGATGAGGACCAAAGTCACGTGACCGAGAGGATATTGGACCTCACCCTGGAGATCATCTACTTGTTGACCGGAGAGGTGAGGAGGATTCTAGAAGGTCACATGACATCATGGAAATAAACCACAGACCTGACCAAATAGGTGAGGAGGATTCTGGGAAATCTGTCACTATAATTGTTCCTTTCTCTCTATACTCAGGATTATAAAGTAGTGAAGAAAATATCTGGTGATCCATTAACACCCAGCAGATGTCTTCATGAGACACCACACATCAAAGTGCTACCAACTCTCTCCATGACGCCTGAGAGAAAAGAAAAGAAGATTCTAGAAGCCACCAAGAAGATGATGGAGCTGCTGACAGGAGAGGTGAGCGGTGCCGGGAATTCTGGGACATGATCCAGGAACAGACAAGGGGTGTGTCTGGGTGGTGACGGGAGAGGTGAGCGGTGCCGGGGATTCTGGGACATGATCCAGGAACAGACAAGGGGCGTGTCTGGGTGGTGATGGGAGAGGTGCCGGGGATTCTGGGACATGATCCAGGAACAGACAAGGGGTGTGTCTGGGTGGTGACGGGAGAGGTGAGCGGTGCCGGGGATTCTGGGGCATGATCCAGGAACAGACAAGGGGCGTGTCTGGGTGGTGACGGTATCATTGTGTGTGTCAGGTTCCTATAAGGTGTCAGGATGTCTCTGTCTATCTCTCCATGGAGGAGTGGGAGTATCTAGAAGGACACCGGGATCTCTACAAGGACGTGGTGATGGAGAATGCCCCGCCCCTCACATCACCGGGTAAGAGGAGAGAGCAGTACGGAGGCTCCGCCTACATCCCCCATCATCTGATACACACATAGAAACAATGTATTCAGTCAGTGTGTGTGTTTCCTACAGATGGATCCAGTAAGAGGAACCCACCAGAGAGATGTCCCCGTCCTCTGTATTCCCGGGACCCCACCCAGGAAGATCTCACCGTCCCCCGCCATGATCAGGTCAGTGGATCTGAAGGACGGGGGCTCAATCATTCTGAGGTCAGAGAGGACATTCTTCTACGTAATCTCTTTTTGGAAATGTTTTCTATCATTTTTAGGGTCAAAAGCAGAAAGACATTAAAGAGGAAGAAGAAGGGACGTTGGTGGGTGGAGCTCAGCGGCCTATGGGGGAGGATGAGCCTACGAGACGTGAACAGGAGGAATCTTCTGGACTTCTGTACACAAGTAAGTTATAAACACTACATGCTGAAATGATTCACATTTTCATTATGCTCCCAATCCCATGGCAGAGCTCGGTGAATGTGTTGAGTTCTGGACCCCCATATATGACTCCGGAATGTGAGACATGAAACGGATCTGTAACATTATATTTGGATCTTTCTCTCCTACAGATGGACTCTGTGCCAGGAACAGGAACACCTCTGAGGGACATCTTGTGTTATCTCCAGAAGTTAATGACGTCACACCACATTCTCCGGGAGTGAATCCCATTACTCATAATAGATATCACAGACCTTCCCATGCAGAGACAACAATGGATCCGTCTAATCCTGAGGAACCTTCTGATCAATCACAGACTGGTACTCCAGATATCCATCTGAGATCTCGGAGTGCGGAGAGATCAACAGATCCATCCAAACTCAAGGAATCTTCTACAAGCCATGAAGGAGATCACACAGGAGAGAGTTCATTGTCATGCTCAGTGTGTGGGATATCTTTCACCAAAAACAAATACTTACTGATACACCAGAAAAGTCATACAAGTGAGCGTCCTTTCTCATGCTCAGAGTGTGGGAAATGTTTCACTTTGAAAGGAAGCCTTGTTAGACACCAGAGAATTCACACGGGCGAACTTCCTTTCTCATGTTCAGAGTGCGGGAAATGTTTCAATCACAACGGCAGCCTTCTTCTGCACCGGAGAAATCACACGGGTGAGCGTCCTTACTCGTGTTCGGAGTGCGGGAAAAGTTTTACTCAAAAAGGAAACCTTACTCAGCACCAGAAAATTCACACGGGAGAGCGTCCATTTTTATGTTTAGAGTGCGGGTTTTCTTTCACCGCGAAATCAGACCTTCTTAAACACCAGAGAAGTCACACAGGTGAGCGCCCTAATTCATGCTCAGTGTGTGGAAAAAGTTTCATTTTGAAAAAGACTCTTCTTCAACACCAGAGATGTCACACAGCTGAGCGTCCTTATTCATGTTCAGATTGTGGGAAACGTTTCACTTACAGAGGAGGCCTTGTTTCACACCAGAAAATTCACATGGATGAGCGTCCTTTTTCATGCTCAGAGTGCAGAAAATGTTTCAGTCGCAAAGGAGACCTTGTTTCCCACCAGAGAAGTCACACAGGTGAGCGTCCTTATTCGTGTTCAGAGTGCGGGAAATCTTTCACTCACAGAGGAGGCCTTGTTTCACATCAGAAAATTCATACAGGTGAGCGGCCTTTTTCATGCTCAGTGTGCGGAAAAGGTTTCGGTGAGAAAGCGCAACTTCTAATACATCAGAGAATCCACACGGGTGAGCGCCCTTTTTCGTGCTCTGTGTGTGGAAAATGTTTTACTCAGAAGGGAGCACTTGGTGTACACCAGAAACTTCACACAGGCGAGCGTCCTCATTCGTGTTCAGTGTGCGGTAAAGGTTTCATTATGAAAACGGCGCTTGCTGTACACCAGAGAAGTCACACGGGCGAGCGCCCTTATTCATGCTCATTGTGCGGAAAAGGTTTCTTTCAGAAAGGAGGCCTTGTTCAACACCAAAAAGTTCACAATTAGGAGGACTGTTTTTCATGCTCAGAGTGTCAATGTTTTCAATATAAAGCAATCTAATACGACAACAGAGAGGCTGCTGACACGGTCGGGGAAATGTACTGGGGAATGTAACAGGTGGAAGTGTAGAAGAAATGTCTGATAACAATGAGTGCATAAAGGGATACTTCCTTAAAAATGTGACATCAAGTCTCAGTGGAGTCTGTTGGGTTGAGTCTCTTTTGGAGGATCCAGTGGTGAGATCTTCTCCAGTTCCCAGCTCTCTTATCCCCCACATTGGGGTGTCTTCATTTCTCTTTTTACATTCTCCACAATATGAAATAAATATCCAACATGGAGAGTAGGAGCTCCTCGTAATGGGCTCAGTGGGTATATGTATGACCCGGGAACTCAAGAGATAGAAGAATACCCGGGGATGATTGGAACCCAACGAGCTCCCCATTCTCCGGGGGGAGGGGAGGTGGGTAGACCTATTACCAGTATGGGGAGATATGGAAACTTTCATTGAGATTCAAGCGTCATCGTATTGTGTTCATCATTCCATCTGATCTTCTACAATAAAAGTTCTAAACTTCACAATATTCTGCTCTGAGTCCCGGCTTTTCCTACAAATGTCCCCAATTCTTAGATGATTCATAGAGAGTCCTCCATTGGTGATGGGAATGAGCTCAGTTCATAGAGAGTCCTCCATTGGTGATGGGAATGAGCTCGGGTCATAGAGAGTCCTCCATTGGTCATGGGAATGAGCTCGGTTCATAGAGAGTCCTCCATTGGTACAGACCTGTCTAAGAATTCACACTCAGTAGGACTTTGGGTGGATTCTAAACCTCAAGAAGTTGACGTTGGTGCCATCTCCTTGGTTGGAGTACCTCAGCATGACACCAGAGTGGTCAGGGTAATTATTCCACCAGAGAAGTTTTGGGACACTGCAGTCTCAGTCCCATGTGTCACTGGACATTGTGTTTAGAATCACTCATAGACTAGAAGCCAATCAACCTACGATGCCTAATCTCCCTCATAATGGGCACAGCGAGTGTACAGACCCGGGAACTCAGCACAGGGATGGTGGGGGCCCCTCATAATGGGCACAGCAGGTGTACAGACCCGGGAACTCAGCACAGGGATGGTGGGAGCTCCTCATAATGGGCACAGCGGGTGTACAGACCCGGGAACTCAGCATCAGCACAGATAACTCATCAATCGAGTCCCGGAGCGTTAGAAGAGACTTTCAGGCTTTTTAACTCTCCGGCTTCCACCAAACACCGAGATCTCTTTTGTTTTGGTGGAGTGACTCCCCTTATTGGAACTCTTACATAAAGTTTGATTTGGTGTTGGACGGATTGGGGATGCTTTGAAGCCGACATTGTCCTATCAACCAAGGAACCTGCGTAACTTGGGGGCTGGACATTGAACGAGGACGGAGTGTTCGGGGCGTAGACTTTCCACCCCCCGGAATCCTCTCCAGCATAACATAATTTTTGCCCGAAGATGGACCTCAAGTTTATCCATTTTTAACATAATATTCTGTTTCAGTTTTATTTTCTTCGTTCTTTCGCTTCACTAAACAAAATTATTATTAGAGAGAACAAAATGGAAGAACGCACCAAGACGCAGCCAACATGGAACTGAAAGACAACGTAAGCTGCAGAATTTATACTCTCCACAGGGAGGCGATCCTAAATATTGTCAATGGAACGCAAAGACAGGAAGTGACATAAGACACAAACAGGAAGTGAGATAGCATGCTGACAGGAAGTTCTAGGTGAAAGGTGAGTTGGGAGGAAGTAGAGAGGAGACATTGCTGGAACTGGCAGCAGAGGAGGTAATATGTTTTATTCGATGTCTGTATTCTAATAGACCGGATACATCCTAAATATAGAACCATTTATCCAACTGTCCATCCAGAGCCGCCATTTATAGACCAGATACATCCTAAATATAGAGCCATTTATCCAACCGTCCATCCAGAGCCGCCATTTATAGACCAGATACATCCTAAATATAGAGCCATTTATCCAACCGTCCATCCAGAGCCGCCATTTATAGACCAGATACATCCTAAATATAGAGCCATTTATCCAACCGTCCATCCAGAGCCGCCATTTATAGACCAGATACATCCTAAATATAGAGCCATTTATCCAACCGTCCATCCAGAGCCGCCATTTATAGACCAGATACATCCTAAATATAGAGCCATTTATCCAACCGTCCATCCAGAGCCGCCATTTATAGACCAGATACATCCTAAATATAGAGCCATTTATCCAACCGTCCATCCAGAGCCGCCATTTATAGACCAGATACATCCTAAATATAGAGCCATTTATCCAACCGTCCATCCAGAGCCGCCATTTATAGACCAGATACATCCTAAATATAGAGCCATTTATCCAACCGTCCATCCAGAGCCGCCATTTATAGACCAGATACATCCTAAATATAGAGCCATTTATCCAACCGTCCATCCAGAGCCGCCATTTATAGACCAGATACATCCTAAATATAGAGCCATTTATCCAACCGTCCATCCAGAGCCGCCATTTATAGACCAGATACATCCTAAATATAGAGCCATTTATCCAACCGTCCATCCAGAGCCGCCATTTATAGACCAGATACATCCTAAATATAGAGCCATTTATCCAACCGTCCATCCAGAGCCGCCATTTATAGACCAGATACATCCTAAATATAGAGCCATTTATCCAACTCCTATGAAGCTGTCTCTGGGTTGTTGGCTCTCCTCTATAATGGACACCAGGTCTTCTCTGGAGGAGGATATGGAGAGGAAGAAGTTCTCATCCAGGCAGCAGAGGGAATGATGATCCCTACAGGACATAGAAGAAGGGATGAAGCTCCTGATTTTTGGGATTTGATGGGAGTGATGCTGTAACTCTGAACCTCACACTATGCTAGAGGCGGATTGTTGGTTCTCCTCACCATTACCTGACTGGCTGTCCTGTCTCTGTCATGCGATACTGAACACCAATCACAGCACAGATGTCCCCAGACCTATTTTGGTGGAGTTGGCTGTCAGGGTGACATTAATGTCCTCCAGTACTTGCCGTATCCAGTGACATTCATAGGACGGAGCTCACAATATAGACATTCCCGGCCTCCGTGCACACAGAACAATGTCATGTCTACATCTCCTCCATCATACGTGATCGGTGTTATTTAGTAATGTATTCTCGCCAATTTGATATATACCGGGTAATACCCAACTGGAGAAAAAACAACTAGGAGACAGAAGAGTCTTTAACAAGAGATCCAATTCTGCTCTCCATCCAAACCTAAAATAAAAAATGTGGACTACAGTTGGGTATTAATGATCATTTTTTAGAGTTACATTGATAAATAAGACCTTTTATATAGTATAAGAAGCCACCTGAGGTGTCAGAACTATGGAGGAACATGATGGATAACCATGGAGGAACATGATGGATAACCATGGAGCAACATGGTGGAGAACTAGGAAGGGACATGATGGAGAACCATGGAGGAACATTATAAGAACTATGGAGCAACATGATGGAGGAACATTATGGGGAACTATGGAGGAACATTATAAGAACTATGGAGCAACATGATGGAGGAACATTATGAGAACTATGGAGCAACATGATGGAGAACTATGGAGGAACATGATGGAGAACTATGGAGGAACATGATAGAGAACTAGAGAGGGATATTATGGAGAACTATGGAGGAACATTATTAGAACTATGGAGGAACATTATTGAGAACTATGGAGGGACATGATGGAGAACAATGGAGGGACATGATGGAGAACTATGGAGGAACATTTATGGAGAACTATGGAGGAACATGATGGAGAACTATGGAGGAACATTTATGGAGAACTATGGAGGAACATTTATGGAGAACTATGGAGGAACATTTATGGAGAACTATGGAGGAACATTATGGAGAACTATAGAGCAATATGATGGAGGAACATTATGGAGGAAAATGATGAGGAACTAGGGAGGAACATGATGGAGAACTAGGAAGGGATATTATGGAGAACTATGGAGGAACATGATGGAGAACTAGGGAGGGATATTATGGAGAACTAGGGAGGAACATTATGGAGAGCCATGGAGGAAGTCTGTGTAGACATAATTCATCCCGGTACAGTCCTTACAATTCGCACTTTATTATCCATCTACAGGGAGGAGTGTCCTGCTTAGAACGCATGACTACATCACTAAGGATGGATGAGGTCCGGAGTCACATGACCACATCAATAAGGATGGAGGAGCAAAGTCACATAACTGAGAAGATACTGGACCTCACCCTGGAGATCATCTCCCTGCTGACTGGAGAGGTGAGGAGGATTCTGGGAGGTCTTTGATAGTGATAATTGTTCAGAAGATGAATGGTGTCACAGACTGCTATATAATACGTTCACACTGTTCAACTCTTCTAATGTCCACACGATTATTTTTTAATTTACTGGCCACCTATGTCTCCGGTCATGCCAATATGTAGGGTATAGAAAGATGGAATGTGAAATGCTGCCTATGTACAGAACCATTCAAAAGTATGATGTTTCGGGGTGACCCCCTTCCTCTAGAGAGACAGGTCTCACCTGGTCATCCTGGAACATCATTCTTTGGAGATCTCAGTATCGCCTTCCATCTTGGTTGTAGGTTAGTCCAATGGTAACCAAGGTTGTATGTTGACCTTACATTCTACTTGAAGATTTACCTGATTGTATATTTCTAACGTAAGTTGTGCCAGCCCAGTGTGGTTTATCTATGTGGGGGTATCGAGGATTGTACCCCGTTGTAGGCACGTGTGTGGAGAGTCCCATCGCTGCTGTGATATTGATAATTGTTACTTTTTCTCTCAGGATTATAAAGTAGTGAAGAAAATATCTGGGGAGCCATTCACACCAAGAAGATGTCTTCATGGGACATCACCCATCGAAGTGCTACCAACTCTCTCCATGACACCCAAGAGAAAAGAGAAGAAGATTCTGGAAGTCATCAAGAAGATGGTGGAGCTGCTGACGGGAGAGGTGAGCGGTACCGGGGATTCTGGGACATGATCCAGGAACAGACAAGGGGCGTGTCTGGGTGGTGACGGGAGAGGTGAGCGGTGCCGGGAATTCTGGGACATGATCCAGGAACAGACAAGGGGCGTGTCTGGGTGGTGACGGGAGAGGTGGGCGGTGCCGGGGATTCTGGGACATGATCCGGGAACAGACAAGGGGCGTGTCTGGGTGGTGACGGGAGAGGTGGGCGGTGCCGGGGATTCTGGGACATGATCCGGGAACAGACAAGGGGCGTGTCTGGGTGGTGACGGTATCATTGTGTGTGTCAGGTTCCTATAAGGTGTCAGGATGTCTCTGTCTATCTCTCCATGGAGGAGTGGGAGTATCTAGAAGGACACCGGGATCTCTACAAGGACGTGGTGATGGAGAATGCCCCGCCCCTCACATCACCGGGTAAGAGGAGAGAGCAGTACGGAGGCTCCGCCTACATCCCCCATCATCTGATACACACATAGAAACAATGTATTCAGTCAGTGTGTGTGTCTCCTACAGATGGATCCAGTAAGAGGAACCCACCAGAGAGATGTCCCCGCCCCCTGTATTCCCGGGACTCCACCCAGGAAGATCTCACCGTCCCTCACCATGATCAGGTAGGTGGGACTAAACGACGGGGGCTCATTCTAAACTATGGGAGGACATTCTTCTATGTAATCTTTTTTTCCTTTTTGGTAAATGTATTCTGTCATTTTCGGGGCTTAGAGTGAAAAACAGAAAGATGTTAAAAAAGAAGAAGAGGAGACGTTGGTGAGTGGAGCTCAGCAGTCTATGGAGGAGGGGGCGTCTACCAGACATGAGCAGGAGGAATCTTCTCTACATACGGACACAAGTAAGTCATAAACACTAAATGCAGAAACAGGTCACGTTTTCTCTACAGTGAGTCTTAACTGCTCATTTACATTATTACTCGGGGAAAACGTCAAGTAATCTGAAACCTGCCGTTGATCTTAACAAAGGTAGAAACTCCGTATGGAGCTTGGCCCAATTTTTCATCAAGGAGAAATTAATTACTTCCTGGTCCCAAAAGGCAAAAGATAATCCGATAATCTGGACTTCTGTGGCTATTGCAGCTATGAATCCTTTCTGTATTAGGCTCCGCCCTGTATCCTCAGTATGTGCAGCCCTTGTTTAACATAGAGAACATCACATCCTTGACTGAGGGAAAGACTGAGAGACTTTAACTGCTTACAGTAAGAGCATCATCAGTGTATCTAACCCACCATGTAGTATACAAATCTTCAGTCCTCGTAAGAATGTCGTCATAGTATCTTCCCCACTACCCAATCTTCCCTGTACTTGAAGTGGAAGCAAATCTTCAGTCTTGATAAGTAGAATGTCATCAACGTATCTTCCCTACCACCCAATGTTCCCACTTCTTGAAGTGGAAACATAGAACACCATATAGTATACAAATCTTCGGTCCTCATAAGTAGAATGTCATCAACGTATCTTCCCAACCGCCCAATGTTCCCAATAATTAAAGTGGAAGCATTGAAAACTATATAGTATGCAAATCTTCAGTCCTCGTAAGTAGAATGGCGTCAACTACTTACGAGGACTGAAGGGAAAGTCAGAGAGACCTTAACTGCTGACATTAAGAACATTATCAGTGTATCTACCCGACCTTCCAATGTTCCCAGTAATTGCAGTGGAAACATTGGACATCATATAGAGTACAAATATTCAGTCTTTGTAAGTAGAATGTCGTCAACGTATCTTCCCGACCATCCAATGTTTCCAATCATTGAAGTGGAAATATTGAACACCATATAGCATAACAAATCTTCAGTCCTCATAAGTAGAATGTCGTCAACGTATCTTCCCCACCACCTAATGTTCCCAATAATTAAAGTGGAAGTATTGAAAACTATATAGTATACAAATCTTCAGTCCTCGTACGTAGAATGTCACCACCGTATCTTCCCCACCACCCAATGTTCCCAATATTTAAAGTGGAAACATTAAGCACCATATAAGTATACAAATATTCAGCACTCTTAAGTAGAATGTTTTCAATGTATCTACCCCACCACCCAATGTTCACAACAATGTTCTGAATATAAAACATAAATCCCATCTCCATTGAACACCATATAGCATACAAAGCTTCAGTTCTCGTAAGTTGTATGTCATCAGTGTATCTACCCCACCACCCAATGTTCCCAATAATTGAAGTGGAAACATAGAACACCATATAGTATACAAATCTTCAGTCCTCATAAGTAGTATGTCATCAACGTATCTACCCCACCACCCAATGTTCCCGAATATAAATTCCATCTCCAATCAACATATAGTATAAAAATATTCAGTCCTCGTAAGTAGAATGTCATCAACGTATCTTCCCTACCACCCAATGTTCCCAGTAATTGAAGTGGAAGTATTAAACACCCCATATAGTATACAAATCTTCAGTACTCAGAAGTAAAATGTCATCAATGTATCTACCCGGTTTAGTTTGGGTGAATTGCCTCATTTATCCGATTTGGATTTATAGTTCAGTGTTCTAATTGCTCCCAATCCCATGGCAGAGCATTATTTCTGGATATTTCTCTCCCACAGACCGACACTATGCCGGGAACAGACGTCACCGACCTTCCCGCTCAGAGACATCAATGGATCCCTCCAATCCTGAGGAACCTTCTGATCAGTCACAGACTGTTACTCCAGATAGACCTCTGAGATCTCAGAGTGCAAAGAGATCAACAGATCCCTCCAATCCCAAGGAATCTTCTACAAGCCATGAAGGAGATCGCACGGGAAAGAGTTCATTGTCATGTTCAGTGTGTGGGAAAAGTTTCACTAAAAAGAAAGACCTTCTTAAACACCAGAGAAGTCACAAGAGAGAGCGTCCTTTCTCATGCTCAGAGTGCGGTAAATGTTTCACCGAGAAGAGACTCCTGCAAAGACACCAGAAACGTCACACGGGTGAGCGTCCTTTCTCATGTTCAAAGTGTGAGAAAAGTTTTACTGAGAAGAAATCCCTTTATATACATGAGAGAAGTCACACAGGTGAACGCCCCTTTTCATGTTCAGTGTGCGGGAAGGGTTTCGCAGATAAAGGAAACCTCCTTACGCACCAGAGAAAACATACAGGTGAGCGTCCTTTTTCATGCTCGGAGTGCGGGAAAAGTTTTACTTTGAAAGGAAGCCTTGTTAGACACCAGAGACGCCACACGGGTGAGCGTCCTTTCTCATGTTCAGAGTGCGGGAAACGTTTCACTGAGAAAAGATGTCTTAATAGGCATGAAAGAAGTCACACTGGCAACCGTCCTTACTCGTGTTCAGAATGCGGGAAGAGTTTTGCTGATAAAGGAAGCCTCCTTCTGCACCAGAGAACTCACACGGGTGAACGTCCTTTTCCATGTGCAGAGTGCGGGAAAACTTTCACTGATAAAGTAAAGCTTCTTTCACACCAGAGAATTCACACCGGTGAGCGCCCTTATTCATGTTCAGAGTGCGGGAAATGTTTTATTCACAAAGGAAGCCTTCTTTTACACCAGAGAAATCACACGGGTGAGCGTCCTTATCCATGTTCAGAGTGCGACAAAAGTTTTACCCAAAAAGGAAACCTTACTAAACACCAGAGAATTCACACCGGTGAGCGCCCTTTTTCATGTTCAGAGTGTGGTTTCTCGTTTACTGCGAAATCAGACCTTCTTAATCACCAGAGAAGTCACACAGGTGAACGTCCATATTCATGCTCGGCCTGTGGGAAATGTTTCATTCTGAAAAAGACACTTCTTCAACACCAGAAGAGTCACACGGGTGAGCGTCCTTTTTCATGCTCCGTGTGCGGGAAGAGCTTTGTTCACAAAGGAGGCCTTGTTTCCCACCAGCGGAGACACACAGGTGAGCGTCCCTATTCATGTTCAGAGTGCGGGAAAAGTTTCTCTCACAGAGGGGGGCTTGCTTCACACCAGAGAAGTCACACGAGTGAGCGCCCTTATTCGTGTTCGGAGTGCGGGAAAGGTTTCATTCAGAAAGGAGACCTCCTTAAACACCAGCGAGTTCACACTGGTGAACGCCCTTATTCCTGCTCTGTGTGCGGAAAAGGTTTTGCGGAGAAAGCACAACTTCTCATACACCACAGAAGTCACACGGGTGAGCGTCCGTTTTCATGTTCAGTTTGTGAAAAAAGTTTCACGCAAAGGGGAGGACTTTTTACACACCAGAAAATTCACACAGGAGAGCGTCCTCATTCATGCTCAGAGTGCGGTAAAGGCTTCATAATGAAAACTTCACTTGTTATACACCAGAGAATTCACACGGGCGAGCGTCCTTTTTCATGCTCAGAGTGCGGGAAATGTTTCATTCACAAAGGAGGCCTTGTGACACACCAGAGAGTTCACACGGGTGAGCGTCCTTTCTCGTGTGCAGAGTGCGGGAAGAGTTTCACCGAGAAGGCAAAACTTTTAATACACCAGAGAAGTCACACGGGCGAGCGTCCTTTTTCATGTTCAGAGTGCGGAAAAGGTTTTATTGAGAAGAGACAACTTGTGCAACACCAGAAAACTCACAAGTAGCAGGTTGGTTTTTCCACACTTAGAGTGCGGAAAATGTTTTCATTATAAAGGAAATCTAATACCAACCCAGATTCTACGAGGGAGGGGAGGTGAATAGACACATTACCAGTATAGTGAGAGATGATACCTTTTTGGGGTGTCGTGATCGGACCATAGGGATTCCATTCTAGTAATGTACATAGTTTATCAAATGTTTTTCGTATATCATTGTCGTCATGTATTTCCTGTTGTGACATTGGAAAAGCTTTACGATTCCACGTAAATGAAGATATTGAACAATGGAGGTGTGGCCTCTTCTGTCATGGAGGTGTCTTATGAAGATGGGTGTGGGAAAGGATTGTGACGTGCATCAGCTTTGAAATATTCAATGTTTTTGGAATTCCTCATGTTCATCAGTCAGCTGACCTCCATCATTGACCCATGAAGTCCTCCACACAGGAGGTTTGGAGATGAGGCTCCTCCCAGCAGGAAGCTCAGGATCTATTGTATCCGGGACCAGGATGAAGCCAGACGCCCCGTCACCGGCAGTTTGGGCTCAGGCCTCGAATTGCTGAGCTCCCGGTACAATCTAACAGCCTTGTGCTCAGGGAAAGGAGTCAGAGGGACATATGGATGGAAGGTCTCACTGGAAGGACCTCAAGCTGCGGTAGGACTTCTCCCGCTGCCCACGTGGACCCAGGAGCCTCCACCAGGTGCCACTCTGCCCTCCTCGTCCTTTACCCCTGCTGTGTCCTGCCTGGTGTACCTGAAGCTGTGGCCAGGTCACCCCGGCCCTTCACCCCTCTCGGGACCCCAATGATCTCCCTTTGGAAGGATTCTGCAATCCCCTCACTCTGTGGATGGACCTCCCTCAGCCAAGACAACCCAACCAGCTGCCCAGGACTGTCCGACGCCTACAGTGTGAGTTGCTTCATCCTTGTCTTCTGTCCTTGGATTGCTGCCCTGTGACCTCATGGACTCTAACCCCCGCTGTTCCTAAGTTTGCCGCGTGTATACCGGGACTCTATCCTTGCCGTACCGTTATTACTGTTTACCCCCCTCTTGCTGTGCTCGTATTGCTGCCCTGTGAACCTGCACGCCATCCCTACTGTTCCTTATTGCTGTGTATCCCTTAATAAAGAACTTCTCAGCCAAGGCTGCGAAAAAAAACCACTCAATCTCCGTATGTGTTCTGTTAACCCCCCACATCCGTCGCGGGGATAAATAGAAAAGCTGGAGGGAGGACTGGGTACTGGGATATGAGGGAAAGCAGATGGGAGGGGTACTGGGATAAATGGGATAGAGGGTGGGAGGAGTACTGGGATAGATGGGAAGGAGGGTGGTAGGGGTACTGATAAGGGCACGAGTGACCACAGCCAGTGGGTGGGAGAGGTCCTGGGAAAAACAGGATGGTGGATGGGAGGGGTACTGGGATAAAAAGTAAGGTGGGAGGGGTACTGTGAGAAATTGTAAGGTGGGTGGGAAGGGTACTGGGATAGATGGGAAGGTGGCTGGGAGGGGTACTGGGGTGGATGGGAGGGGTACTGGGATAAAAAGTAAGGTGGGAGGGGTACTGGGAGAAATTGTAAGGTGGGTGGGAAGGGTACTGGGATAACTGGGAAGGTGGCTGGGAGGGGTACTGGGATAGATGGGAAGGTGGCTGGGAGGGGTACTGGGATAAATGGGAAGGTGGTTGGGAGGGGTACTGGGATAGATGGGAAGGTGGTTGGGAGGGGTACTGGAATAGATGGGAAGGTGGTTGGGAGGGGTACTGGGATAAAAAGTAAGGTGGGTGGGAGGGGTACTGGGATAAATGACAAGGGGTACTGGGATAAAAAGTAAGGTGGGTGGGAGGGGTACTGGGATGGTTGGGAAGGCAGATGGGAGGAGTACTAGGATAGATGGGAAGGAGGGTGATAGGGGTACTGATAAGGGCCGGGAGTGACCACAGCCAGTGGGTGGGAGAGGTACTGGGTATATGGAAAGGCAGGTGGGATGGGTACTGGGATAGATGGGAAGGTGGTTGGGAGGGGTACTGGGATGAATGGGAAGGGATGTGTGGGGTAAGGGAGGGGAAATAGGGAAACTCCTAATAAACACAGATAGGTGTAGATCTTCTGGTGGTCCTGGAGTTGCCTCTCATAAGAAACATGAAGGAAGGTGGTAGTAGGTTCAGGTCATTGAGGGTTCGGAGTCTCTGTGGTTGATGAGATGAATTTATCGACAAATAAGAGTTATATGAACCAGGGCGGGGGAGGGGACTAAAAGAATGTGTAAATATTTCTTGCTCATGAAGGCCATCAGGTGAAAACCGACCGCTAGAGGGTCCTCGGGTGAAACACGACCGCTGGAGGGTCCTCAGGTGAAACACGACCACTGGAGGGTCCTCGTGTGAAACACGACCAGTGGAGGGTCCTCAGGTGAAACACGACCAGTGGAGGGTCCTCGGGTGAAACACGACCAGTGGAGGGTCCTCAGGTGAAACACGACCACTGGAGGGTCCTCGGGTGAAACACGACCAGTGGAGGGTCCTCGGGTAAAACACGACCACTGGAGGGTCCTCAGGTGAAACACAACCGCTGGAGGGTCCTCAGGTGAAACACGACCAGTGGAGGGTCCTCAGGTGAAACACGACCAGTAGAGGGTCATCAGGTGAAACACAACCTTGATAGGGTCATCAGGTACCTGTTGGTGTCATCTCTTCAGTTAGGTCCCTTACAACACCCCAAAATGGTCATACGATGGGATAGTCCCACCATGGATGCAGATAGGTACCTCTGTGCCCACATCTCCTTCAACAATGTGCTGAATCTCACAAAGGTAAATTAGGTGAACCCACATGTGAGCAAGTCACTTGGGAAACTTCAAGGTGAGCAGTCTAAAGGACCAGATGGTATTCCACCAAGGATCTCCTCCAGAGACCTCTGGATGGGAGAAGGTTGCTCAGTAATATGGAGCTTCCCATCGAGTTTCTGGGGCATCTTCTCGTAGGAGTTTTGGCGTGTAAACTTCTTGATGTGGAGAAAGAAGGGAAGAGATCAGAACGCGGGAGGAGAAATGCTCCATTCCTCTTCTGTTCCTCCTCCAGTTGAAAGGGGCAAAAAACCAGGAGGGGGAGGTTGATGAGAGGACGGGAAGGAACATTATGGAGGGTAATCAGGGAAATGGGGGGGGTTGGAGGTGACCCATCTCCCGGGATGAAGGGTGTGAATAGTTCTAGTGTAGTCCCTCTATGGGGATCCACATGTTCCTGAGTTTTTTGAGCACGCCTTGTGTTATTGAGGTCCGTGTGCCGTTGCCCACGATGCTGTAACATCAATGTTTAACTTTTGAAAGGCGTAACTCTCCAGAGGTCGGCCGTGGTTTGTTTGGTCGCACGAAGTATGAAGGTGATGAGCTTGTCCGTCACTCTGGAGGCATAAGGTACGGGTCTATTTAATAAGTCCTCGATGGGGTCCTTTCTTATATTAAGGTCATGTACGTAGTTCTTCAGCTTGTAGACCGTCATTCGTAAGCGTCACACTGCGGGGCAAGTCCAGCAGATATAAAGCATTGGGCCCCTCATGGCTTACAGATGGGGCCCCGAGGTAGATAGGGACTTTGTGATTCACAGGAACCCCCAATGATCCCCTTAATCATGAGACTAGACATAGCTACACTGCCACCCATCACAAATGAAAGCCTCGTGAGGAACCTATCCCCCAGACTAGGGTTGCCACCTGTCCAGGATTCACCCGGACAGTCCGGGTTTTGAATGCTGTGTCCGGGTTTCATGGCAGCAGAAACCCAGACACAAGATGTCAGGCAGACAGGGGCAACCAAAATCACGATAGGGGCTACTGGCCCCCCACTGGAAATAGTCTCAACTGTGATATTTACATAGGAATGGGCGGCACTATTTACATATGAATAAGCCAGGACTCATTCTCCCCCAAAAAATGTCTGTGCGTTGCTAGAGTGTTCGGGTTTCCCTTGAAGAAAAGGTGGCAACCCTACCCCAGACACTTCTACTCCCTACATTCTGCGCTCAACAAGACCAACACACAGGCTTCGCAAGACCACAGACACGGCTCTCCACCAAACTTAGAGGTCAACCACACCCGGAAATATGACTTCTAGAAATGCTACGATAACAGTGGAAGGCACAGACAGGAAGTGATATGCGGAGCAGAGAAGAAGTGATATTAGTGGAAAACAGGAAGTGATGTCAGATACAGACAGGAAGTTGGTGAGTTGGGAGGAAGTGGAGAGGAGACATTGCTGGAACTGGCAGCAGAGGAGGTAAGAAGATATTATACAATATGATGTTTATGTTTCATGTATTAGAGGCATTTATAGAACATTGCCAACGGACGCAATAGACCTTCTGATCGGTCCTTGTCCTAGGAGCTTACAGTCTAAGATCCCTACATCCCATACATAGTCTTTTTTTCTTGTGTGGTCCCCCTTAAAATCCATACCAGACCCCCAATCAGGTTGTTTAAAGGAATTGCTCATCACATATTCCTGATGGCCATGCCCAGCTCCCAGTAAAAAGCTTAGAAATTGACCTTAGGAACGTCCAGGACAAAAATTACAAGATTGAACCCCCAATTCAGGTCCTACGTTTGTGGTGGGCACATTTTTTTCAATTGTTCGGCAAATGTCCGGCAAGCTGAACTTGGCTTGATTTGCTCACCAGTATTCCCAACCCAAAATTTACCAGGTAGTATTTCACCTTTAACATCCATCTAGAGCCAGAAGAACTAAAGGCAGAAGAAACTTCAACAGGAGGATACGCCCCTCCTCTCGGCCCAAACTTAAAGTTCGGGCTTCAGTTGGGTATTTAGGATAATTTCTGGATTTCTTCCAGTTACATTGATAAATTAGACCTGTGATATAGTATAAGAAGCCGTCTCAGATGTCCGAACTAAGGAGGAACATTATGAGGAACTATGGAAGAATATTATGGAGAACTAGGGAGGAACATTATGAGGAACTAGGGAGGAACATTATGAAGAACTAGGGAGGAACATTATAAGGAACTATAGAGGAACATTATGAGAAACTACGGAGGGACATTATGGAGAACTATGGAGGAACATTATGAGGAACTAGGGATGAACATTATGAGGAACTAGGGAGGAACATTATAAAGAACTAGAGAGGAACAATATGAAGAACTATGGAGAAACATTATGAGGAACTAGAGAGGAACATGATGGAGAACTAGGGAGGACATTATGAGGAACTATGGAGGAACATGATGGAGAACTATGAAGGAACATGATGGAGAACTAGGGATGAACATTATGAGGAACTAGGGATGAACATTATGAGGAACTACGGAGGAACATTATGGAGAACTATGGAGGAACATTATGAGGAACTAGGGATGAACATTATGAGGAACTAGGGAGGAACATTATGAAGAACTAGAGAGGAACAATATGAAGAACTATGGAGGACATTATGAGGAACTATGGAGGAACATGATGGAGAACTAGGGAGGAACATGATGGAGAACTAGGGAGGAACATGATGGAGAACTAGGGAGGAACATGATGGAGAACTAGGGAGGAACATGATTGAGAACTAGGGAGGAACATTATTAAGAACTATGGAGGAACATTATGAGGAACTAGGGAGGAACATGATGGAGAACTAGGGAGGAACATTATGGAGAACTATGGGGAAACATTATGAGGAACTAGGGAGGCACATTGTGGAGAACTATGGAGGAACATGATGGAGAACTAGGGAGGAATATTATAAGGGAACTCTGTGCAGACATTATTCATCTCGGTACAGTCCAGATAACTCTCCGTTTATCTGTTTACAGAGGGGAGCTTCCTGAATTGATCACATGACCTCGTCAATAAGGATGGAGGAGGACCAAAGTCAAATGACTGAGAAGATATTGGCCCTCACCCTGGAGATCATCTACCTGCTGACCGGAGAGGTGAGGAGGATTCTGGAAGGTCGCACGTAGAGTTGCCACCTGTCCAGGATTCACTCGGACAGTCCGGGTTTTGAATGCTGTGTCTGGGTTTCATGGCAGCTGAAACACGGACTCATGATGTCAGGCAGACGGGGGCAACCAAAATTAAGATAGGGGCTACTGGCCCCACCACTGAAAATAGTCTCGACAGTGATATTTACAAATGAATAAGCCGCCACTCATTCTCCCAAAACAATTTCTGTACGTCGCTAGAGTGTTCGGGTTTACATGACCTTAAAAGAAAAGGTGGCAACCCTAGTCACATGACATCACTCATCTCTATTCATAACACACGGACCTGACCGGAGAGGTGAGGAGGGTTCTGGGAAGTCTGTAGTGATCGTTGTTACTTTCTTTACTCAGGATTATAAGGTAGTAAAGGAAATATCTGGTGAGCCATTAACAACCAGCAGATGTCTTCAGAGGACATCACCCACCACAGAGCCTTCACCTCACCGCCTGACAACAGAGGAAAAGAGTGCCAAGAAGATTCTGGAGGTCATCAAGAAGATGATGGAGCTGCTGACGGGAGAGGTGAGCGGTGCCGGGAATTCTGGGCCATGATCCAGGAACAGACAAGGGGCGTGTCCGGGTGGTGACTGTATCATTGTGTGTGTCAGGTTCCTATAAGGTGTCAGGATGTCTCTGTCTATCTCTCCATGGAGGAGTGGGAGTATCTAGAAGGACACCGGGATCTCTACAAGGACGTGGTGATGGAGAATGCCCCGCCCCTCACATCACCGGGTAAGAGGAGAGAGCAGAACGGAGGCTCCACCTACATCCCCCATCATCTGATACACACATAGAAACAATGTATTCAGTCAGTGTGTGTGTTTCCTACAGATGGATCCAGTAAGAGGAACCCACCAGAGAGATGTCCACGTCCCCTGTATTCCCGGGATCCCACCCAGGAAGGTCTCACCATCCCCCACCATGATCAGGTAGGTGGGACTGAAAGACCCGGGTCTAAATAATTATTCTAAAGATGACATTCTTCTATGTAATTTCTTGTTCCTTTTTGGGAATTCTATTCTTTATCGGAGCTTAGGGCAAAAAACAAAAAGACATTAAAGTGGAAGAAAAAGAGACGTTGGCGAGTGGATCTCAGCAGTCTATGGAGGAGGGGGAGAAGAATATGGAAAATAAACAGGAGGAATCTTCTCTACGTATGAACACAAGTAAGTCATAAACACTAAATGTAGAAACACTTAACAAAAACATATGAAGGTCCATCTCCATTCCTCAATATAACGTCATGTGACCAACAAATGAGGAGGAGATACTGGACACCATATGAAGGTCCATCTCCATTCCCCAATCTAACGTCATGTGACCAACAAATGAGGAGGAGATACTGGACACCATATGAAGGTCCATCTCCATTCCCCAATCTAACGTCATGTGACCAACAAATGAGGAGGAGATACTGGACACCATATGAAGGTCCATCTCCATTCCCCAATCTAACGTCATGTGACCAACAAATGAGGAGGAGATACTGGACACCATATGAAGGTCCATCTCCATTCCCCAATCTAACGTCATGTGACCAACAAATGAGGAGGAGATACTGGACACCATATGAAGGTCCATCTCCATTCCCCAATCTAACGTCATGTGACCAACAAATGAGGAGGAGATACTGGACACCATATGAAGGTCCATCTCCATTCCCCAATCTAACGTCATGTGACCAACAAATGAGGAGGAGATACTGGACACCATATGAAGGTCCATCTCCATTCCTCAATATGACGTCATGTGACCAACAAATGAGGAGATACTGTACACCATATGGAGGTCCATCTCTGGTCTTCAGTAGGTCTCCTTGAATTGGGGTGGTGGAAGGTCCATCTCCATTCTCACGGTTACAATGTATAATTGGATCTGTAACATTATTTTTGGATCTTTCTCTCCTACAGACGGGAACAGGAATACCTCTGAGGGACATCTTGAGTTATCTCCAGATCATAATGACATCACACAACATTCTCCGGGGGTGAATCCCATTACTCATAATAGACATCACCGACCTTCCCATTCAGAGATATCAATGGATCCCTCTAATGCTGAGGAACCTTCTGACCAATCACAGACTGCTACTCCAGATATACATCTGAGATCTCAGAGTGCGGAGAGATCAACAGATCCATCTGATCCCAAGGAATCACCTTCAAGCCATGAACGAGATCACACAGGAAAGAGTTCATTGTCATGTTTTATATGCGGGAAATGTTTCACTAAGCATGGAGACCTTCAGAGACACCAGAGAAGTCACAAGAGTGGGCTTCCATTAAAATGCTTAGAGTGCGGGAAATCTTTCACAGAGAAAAGATACCTTTTTAGACACCAGAAACGCCACAAGAGCGAGCGTCCTTTCTCGTGTTCAGAATGCGGGAGATGTTTCACTGAGAAAACAGGTCTTCTTAGACACGAGAGAAGTCACACAGGGGAGCGTCCTTATTCATGTTCAGTTTGCGGCATTTCTTTCACTTTGCAAGGAAACCTTCTTAGACACCAGAGACGTCACACAGGGGAACGTCCTTTCTCCTGTTTAGAGTGTGGGAAAAGCTTCCCTGAGAAAACAGGTCTCCATAGACACGAGAGAAGTCACACAGGTGAGCGTCCCTATTCTTGTTCAGTGTGTGGGAAGTGTTTTACTGAGAAAGGAAATCTTCTTCTACATGAGAGAAAGCACATGGGTGAGCGCCCCTATTCGTGTTCAGAGTGCGGGAAGTGTTTCGCTGATAAAGGAAGCCTTCTTCTGCACCAGAGAAACCACACAGGTGAACGTCCTTATTCATGTTCAGAGTGTGGGAAATGTTTCATTCTCAAAGGAGGCCTTGTTGCACATCAGAGAATTCATACTGGTGAGCGTCCTTTCCCATGTTCTGAGTGTGGCAAAACTTTCACCCAAAAAGGAAACCTTGTTAAACATGAGAGAATACACACAGGTGTGCGTCCTTTTTTGTGTTTAGAGTGCGGCTTTTCTTTCACTGTGAAAGGAGACCTTCTAAATCACCAGCGAAGTCATACAGGTGAGCGTCCTTATTCATGCTCAGAGTGTGGGAAAAGTTTCATTCTGAGAAAGACACTTCTCACACACCAGAGAATTCACACGGGTGAGCGTCCTTATTCGTGTTCAACCTGCGGGAAATGTTTCATTCACAAAGTAAACCTTGTTGAACACCAGAGACGTCACACCGGTGAGCGACCTTATTCATGTACGCAGTGTGGGAAAAGTTTCATTCAGAGAGGAGGTCTTCTTTCACACCAAAAAAGCCACAAGGGTGACCCTTCGCATTCACGTTCAGAACGTGGGAAAGGTTTCACTCAGAAAGGAGACCTTAAAGAGCAGAAAAGTCAGACTCCACGTGCGGGATATTCTTTGAGAAAGAAAAACCTCTAATATACCACAGAAGTCACATGGGTGAGCGTCCATTTTAATAAAAAAAATCCCCACCTTCCTGTTTTTCAGAATGTTGGGTTAGTGAAGAGGAGTTTAGTTCCATTTTAAAAAACCTTGGTGTGGCCTCTTCCTTCATCGGGGTTTCTTATATTTATTATGTTATGAAGATGGGTATCACCAGGCGGGGCAAATGGGAATGAGTGTGGGTACTGGGATAAATAGGAAGGAGGGTGGGAGGGCTGCTGGGATAAATGAGTAGGAGGGTTAAAAGGAAACTGG